TCTCTCTCTCTCTCTCTATATATACATATATATATATATATATATATAGACAGATATACATATACATATATATATATATATATATACATATATATATACATTTATACAAATCGACCGATAGATATATGGATGGATGGATGGATGGATGGATGGATGGATGGATGGATGGATGGATGGATGGATGGATGGATGGATGGATGGATGGATGGATCCGCCACAGTGCCTCTGGACACGGAGTGGGCGTGTCCTTAGGTCCTTGGCCTAATCCCCCTGAGCCTCAGTCCTCAGTCCTGAGGAGTCTTCACGAGCCCCGGAGCCCAAAGTGCCAGACCTCTCGGGCCTTGGCGCGGTTCCTCCGGGGCCCGTCGCGTGGTGGCGAGTGAACCTTTCGGGCCCAAGAGGGCCCCAAGACAGTTCCAGAGGTTCCCAAGAGGGCCCCGTGTCGCCAGACGATCGCCCCAGGATGCCCAAGATGGCCCCACGATGGCCCGAGAAGCCTCCGAGACTCCTAAAGAGGCCTCCAACGAGGGCCCCTCGTTGATTGCGCCTCGGTTTTCGAGTGTTCTCGCCTTGAAGGCTTCCCGATGCCCCCAGACGGCCCTGGAGGCCCCCAAGACCGCCCCAAGACGGCCCAAAAGGCCTCCAAGAGGGCCCCAAAACGGCCCAAGAGGGCCCCAAGACAGCCCAAGAGGCGCCCAAAACGGCCCAAGAGGACCCCAAGACGCCCCCAAAAGGGGCCCACAAAAGGGAACACGAACCGAAGGGGCTTTCCGCCCGAAGGGGCCCCCAGGAGGCCCCAAGAGGCGCCCAGGAAGCCCCCAGAGGCCCCCAAGAGGCCCCCAAAAGGCCCCAAGAGGCCCCCAAGAGGCCCCCAAGAGGCCCCCAAACGAAGATCCCAACGAACATCCCATAGGCTTCATCCCCACAACCCAGGCACGGTGACAGGATGGGCCAAAGGCCATTAGAGCCGCCGCACCCTGTTAATGTATCACAGGGGTGCCTGGCGTGCCAAACCCTACTGGTTTGCTTGTGACTCTTTTCCGAAAGAAATCCCCCTGGGGCTTCGGCCCGTCCCGCCGGCCACCCGGAAAGCCGCCGTAAATGTACCTATCAATGCCGTTCCCGCTCCAAGATGGCCCAAGATGGCCTCCAAGACGGCTTAGATGGCCCGAGATGAAATCCAAATTACCCAAGAGGGCCCCAAATCGGCCCAGAGAGGCCCTCAAGACGGCGTCAGACGGGCCAGGAATGCCATAGTCTTAAGCGAAGACTGCCAAAGGGGCCCTTGAGAAACCCCAAAAGGCCCCCAAGGGGCCCAAGGAGGCAACAAAGGAGCATCCAAAAGACCCAGGAAGCTCCCAGGAGGCCCCAAGAGTGCCCCCAGAGGCTCCCAAAATGCCCCCTCCTCCTCCTCCTCCTCCTCCTGATCTTCCCCGCCATGCTCCCCCAGGTGTTCCTGGAAGGGTTTCTACAACGGCTGTGGGAACACATGGCCCGACAGCTTGGCAGAGCTCTTGCCACAACGCGCGGCCACATGGGCGATTCCAAAGGCAGGGGGCGGCGGTGATTCGCCGCAGGCGTCTTCGATCCGCCGCCCTCTATGCTTGTCACGGGGGTGCATGGCGTGCTAGACCCTACCGTCTTTGGTTTTGGTTCTTTTCCAAAAAAAACTCCCCCTGGGGCTTCGGCCCGTCCCGTCGGCCACCCGGAAAGGACCGCAAAATGCATATGTCAATGCCTTTCCCGTTCCAAGACTGCCCAAGATGGCTTCAAAGACGGCTCAGATGGCCCGAGATGGCCTCTCTAAGTTCGCCCAAGACGGTCAGTTATGGCCTCCACGACGGCCCAAGAGGGTCCAAGATGCCTCCAAGTCCGCCCGAGAAGTCTCCAACATGGCCTCGAGATGGCCTCAAGATGGCCCAAGACGGCCCAAGAGGCCCCCAAGACGGCCCAAGAAGGCATTCAAGAGGTCCTCCGGGAAGGCCCGAAGAGGCCAAAACCGTTGATGTTCCTTAGGTGCGTGAAGGATTTGGACACTTCCTCCTCTTCGGTCCTCCGACGGCCCGGGGCGGCCCAAGAGCCCCCAAAGGTCGCCCCAGGACCGCCCGAGAGGCCTCCGAAATGACCCCAGAACGGCCCACGAGGCCCCCAAGACTGCCCCAAGAGGGCCCAAAGACGGCCCACGAGGCCCCCAAGACGCCCAAGATGGCCTCTCGGTGCCGCCTGCCTCTGCGCCTCTGCACGACGGCCAGTCTGCAGTGATTTTTGCCTGCGTGTCTGCCTCTGTCTCTGTGTCTGTAGTGCTGCCACTGCCTGCATGCTTGCCGCTCCCCGCATAAGAGTGGGCATCTCAATCGGCGCACGAGCACTCAGACACAACCAATGGCGACTCCACGTCCACCACACACGGACGGGCCATGCCTACACATATCCGCTCCTTCGCTGTAGGCACACAATTTCGTATGCGACGCACAGCAAGGGCAATAGGCCATCCAGGCCCAGGACTCATCCAGGGCCCCACGGGCATTCGCGGCTCGTCGCGTGACTTTCCCCAGGGGCTAAGAACCGAGGTCGAGAATGCAAGCCTCCCGAATGTCCCGATATCACCCTTGGCTGGGCGGGGGAGAGATAAAATGCAGGAACGAAGAGGCGTAAGCTCTAACACACTAGGGGTACGATAGGACAGAGCCGAGTAAAGCAGACTTGCGTAGACCAGAACAGGCCAGAGACAAGAAAAGCTGCAATAGCGAAAAGCAAAGAGGGGAGATTTGAGAATCAGCGCGGACGAAGCGGCGAAAGATCTTAGTATGGCAGGACAGTCGTAGCCCCCATTTGCGCGCCCACCTCTGCATGCCCTCCCACTCTCGCGCCCCCCGAAACATTGCTGCGCTGAACGCTGATCTCCCCTCGCTTTACATCAGCACCCCAACACGGGAATCTTGAATGCACCCAAACATGGACACGTGACTCGTTCCGTACAGCCGTCCGGTAGATCCGTCCTGCATGCCGGCGGCTCAAGGGAAGGGACTCTGAAGAATGGGACTCGGAGGGCGAGGGGCAGGCCCCATCTTGGAGCCGCCAACCATACTTCAAGCAGCCAATCGACGCTGGGCGCGGAAGGAGCCTCAGCATCCGCCAGCGCAGACGCTCACAGTCCTGTGCGAGGCGGCCAGGCCAGACGGAAAGAAACGCTGCGATACATGTAAGCTCCTCCCCCCACCCCTTCTCACGCTACTGCAACTCCTTCTCATACGCCTCCTCCTCCTCCTCGTCCTCGTACCCCTCTTCCTCCTACTCCTCCTCCTCCTCCTCCTCCTCCTCCTCCTCCTCCTCCTCCTCCTCGTCCTCGTCCTCCTCCTCCTCCTCCTCCTCCTTCACCTCCTCCTCATCCTCATCCTCCTCCTCCTTCTCCTCCAGCCGCTGCCAGGGGACCCCACTTGAGTGCTAACGAATTAGAGCAGCAGGCCGCGCAGGCGACCAGTTTGAAGGACTATCTCCGATATGTAGCGGAAGCCCTTCAACTCTGGCCTACGGTTGCACCGAAGGCTGGATGTGAAGGACTCCCTAAGCCAGCTAAGAATTGAAACCCGCCCGTAGGAGCGGCCGCAACTCTGCCCGCCTGGGAGATCGAAGTGCCTCCGCCTCCGACCCCTCCTCCTCCGACCCCTTCGGCTCCTGGGGACGAGTTTGGTAACACCAGGCCGGCACATAGGTGGCACAAGTGGGGTGGTTTTGCGATGTTCGTAGACAGAGGTGTGCTTCTGATCACGGTTTGAAACGGCGCGACAGGAGCAATGTCCTGGCTTTTGTGCCCACCATAATGAGCTGCTGGCCAATCCACGTGGCCACAACCCGTACTTCTTCGGGCATCTAGCCTCTGTTATGATTTGCGTTGGAAGTGCGGTTCGTTTTCAGAGGGAACCCGAGGTCTCCAAGGTCTCCAAAGAGACTGCTCTGACCACCCGCCTACAAACGGTCGTGCGCTAAAACGCCAGCGCGCTCGGGAAGGAAGGCACCCGAAAGGTTCTGCGAGCTCACACATTGGTTTAAAGCCGCCGATCACACTGGCCCAGCTGGTGAGAGAATTGGCAGGGATGAGCCCCTCTGCATAACGCAGCAGGCAGCTCCAAAGACAATCGGGATTCACCCCAATCCGAGCGCTGGTCCTCCTCCTCCTCCTCCTCCTCCTCCTCCTCCTCCTCCTCCTCCTCCTCCCTGTTATCCTCCCTCATCCTCATCCTTCCTCTCACTGCAACTTTCCCCCTCTATCCCTTCTCAACCTCCTTCGTATCCTTATGTGTATCTTCCTCCTGTTCCCCTCTTTCAATTTTGAGTAACGTTAAGCGTCCGCGGATGTGGGTCGTGTCTCTTCCCATCACCCTGGGGAGAAAGTTGAGCAGCCTGCCGTGAAGATATGGAAGCCAGAGAGTACAGTGGGGGCGTTGACCTGAGGAATCCTAAATAAGGAACGAGGCCCCTTTATTCCATAAGTTAAGCTTCGATTTCCCATCGAAGGCCCAAGGAATACCTGAGGCGAACCCTCCCCAACAAAAAAGGTTCTTTCTTCAATGCCCCGACTGTAGGAGCAATGTAAGCATGGACGACCTGGGCGAGGTAAAGTTCGATAAGCTCGCGTGATAGGGATCGTCGCAACTGCTCGCAGTCAATCGCGCGTGCCAGATGGCGTGAGGAGGGATGATCACGACTACAGTGGGTGAGTGGCTGCATGGAGACGCAGGTGCGCCAATTTTTTTGGCAGCGAGGGAGGAGTCCGCGCACCTAGCAAGTCCAAGTCAAGCACTGATTAGGCTGGACAGCAGGGCTTATGCACCAAAAGATAGGTCGAAGAAGCATCGCAGCAGCTCAGAAGCGGCAAAAGCTAAACTCGAGAACCTTCACTGCCACGCGACAAGAAAGTCGTGCAATTCTGAATCCGTGAAGCTTGAGCGGCGAAGAATGCAAGGCCTGTGCGCGCCCATTATCGCGCGCTCCAGCTTCAATCATGCACACAATCTCGTCGCCCTGCGTCTCCGCGGCCACACGGATGACAAGGCAAAATAAACGTACGCTTGTTGCGCATGATCGCCCAGGACCGCGGGAGTCTGCGACGGAGTCTTGCCAATTCCAAGCGCAGCTGGAAGGAAGGGTACACGGTGAACACGGAGAAAATCTGCACCACTGAATCATGAACTAACGTGGCCAGTACGACACCCGACCCCGATAGACAACACCACTGACCTGAAGCTCAGCGGCCAAGGCACCCATGTAGCGGAAAGCGGCCTGCGGAACAACAACTGCAAAGCCAAACCGGCCAAGCCTCCGAGGGCGATGCACGGCTAACATGACAGCACGCGATGGCCAGACGCCAAGAAGGCCCATTGCACAGACATCCACACCATACCCATCCAGACAGCGAAGGACGAAGCTGCATGCCCGCTTGGAGAAGCGGCTCAAGCCTTGCCGCGCAAAACCATTCCAAAATACAAGGCGACCACACCGAAGCAGCACGCGACCACACCGAAGGCAGCAGCACCAAGAGACACCCAAGATCGCCCAAGAGGCCTCCAATTGGGCCCCAAAACGACCCGAGAGGGCGCCAAGATGGCCCAGAGGCCTCCAAGACAGCCCAAGACTCCCCCAAGGCGGCACCAAGAGGGAGCCCAGGCGAAGACCCGAACGGACAGTTCGAGCCCTCGGCCTGAGAAGCTCCCAGGAGGCCCCCAGAGACCCCCAACAAGCCCCCCCAAGAGGCCCCAAGAGGCCCCCAAGAGACCCCGAGGAAGCCCCAAGAGGCCAACACGAGGCTCCCAAGAGGCCCCCAAGAGCCTCCGAAGTCGTCGTCGTCGTCGTCGTCGTCGTCGTCGTCGTCGTCGTCGTCGTCGTCGTCGTCGTCGTCGTCGTCGTCGTCGTCGTCGTCGTCGTCGTCGTCGTCGTCGTCGTCGTCGTCGTCGTCGTCGTCGTCGTCGTCGTCGTCGTCGTCGTCGTCGTCGTCGTCATCGTTGTCGTCGTCGTCGTCGTCGTCGTCGTCTTTCCCCCGCCGCCGCCGTCGGTGTCGTCGTCGTCGTCTTCGTCGTCGTCGTCGTCGTTCAGGATCGGCGGCACCGGCCATAAGGCCTCACCAATACAAAGCGGCCACACCGAACCAGCACGCAACAATGGCCAGTGCATGGACTGGCGCAGACTCGAGAAACGTAAATAGTGTGAGGTTGAGACGATTGAAGACCCCACCAATGTTGTGTCAAGGCCATGTATGTCGTATACCATGCCGCCTGAGCTTACCATCTGTCTCGGGACGCACGACCCGGCGTTTTCCTCCAGCTCCTGCCTGCTGCTTGTAGCATTTAGCGAGGAGTCCGATGGCGTCGTTTTCAAACCGCCACACTCTCGTCATGAAGCCGTCTGCATTCCTGGCACTCTCAGCGTTCTGCGTGGGAGACCCATGGAGTACACGACACCCTTGACCCACCGAATCCCGAGGGTAGTTCTTGGACCTACTGAGAAGGCGACACGTCTACTGCTTATGCAGGGGATCGCTTTGTTCTGGGAAGATGTGGATGTGAAGCTGATGCTGCTTCTTGTGCTCTTGCTGCCCACAGAGACAGAACAGGGTGGTCGCGCCCCTCCTCGATGGCTTGGCCGTGCCTACAGGCGCTGGTCTGTTTCTCAATCTGGAGGTCATCGGCGGCGACTGTCAGGCATCGAATCAGAACTCCAGTCTATGTGACGTCATCCTAACTACGTTGGCTTCTCGATACGCGCATGGCTAGGATGGAAACTGGCGTGGGCGACGCCGCGGACGTTGATCTCGGCATGCTGCATGTTTACGAGATCTGGGCGTGGCAGCCCTTGTCCAGTGACAAAACTGCCGATGACGATGTCGGCCTCTTCGTTTGTGTCCCTCGCAATTGGTCGGAGATGTGCCGTGGTCGCTGTGGCCGAGAGCGACAGCTTTGTCTAGGCTGTGGCTGTACAGTCGGACCCAGGCCAGCGCTTCATTCAAGAACATGGAACCCTCCGCTGGCCAAGACGCACAGAACATCCCAGGGTACCCTCCCCATCCCCAGGATGCACAAGAACGTCCAACAAACACGAAGAACACTAGGGTACCCTTCCCGAACCTACCTCGATCTGATACCTCGGTCCGACTGTACCGATTGATCCTGGCAGCGCAGCCGTCGACCTGCTGCAGAGACCCCAACAGGCCGTGGCGGAGCGGCGGCGCGCGGGCAGGTCGATGGCTGCCGCGGACAGCGACAGGGCGCCAGGCGTTGGAGGGCTGACGCCGCTGGCGGCGGCGGCAGACTGGTGAACGCGGTTACGGCACAGTCGGACGCAGGCCAGAAGAACGTCCCTCAAGAAAATGAGAGACCCTGCGACGGTCCAAGCACACAGACCGTCCAAGGGTGCCCTCCCCAGGGTGCACAAGAACAGCCAACAGACACGAAGAACGCTGGGGTACCCTCCCCGAAC